ATCGCCAATGTGCTGTAAGAGGTGCCGTTTTAACGTACCAATTTAGTTAAATACAACTCTGAATGTGATTCCGCGAACAGTCAATCATACTGAAGTTGTGCAAGTTTACCTTAAGCGTAGACTACAATACGAACACAGTTTCATGACTGAAGCGATATGCCCGGCGAAGATTTAGAAAGCCGCAAGATATCTTATAAATACGGTAAATACAAAATACACAACATAGTTCTTCTAGCGATTGGTTAAATAGCATGGATTGTAAATAAGAACAACCCTTTGTTTCTAACGTTGAAGATCTCGAGTTAGTATCGCGGTTAAACAATGCCACCTTTATACAAGATGATGTGGGTGAAGTAAATCCACAAGAAACATGATTCGGTAATAATCCTGTAAAGAATTTACCATTGCAGAGTATTTCCATTGCCCCAGGTGAGGGACAGCAACCATTAGATATGCTCTTGGATGAGGATTCTGAGAAACTGTACCATACTTCAATATACAGCGGTGGTAAAAAATTGCACTGCTACTATTTGAAAAATTATTAAGTTTGTAGTTCGGCGTTATGACAGACGGTGTGCCCGTGTGGAAAAAGTCTTATATTGCTATAGTAGCATTTCCACATGCTTGAGAAAAAAAGTTGGAATTAGACAATTTACTGCTGCTTAAATTCTAGATGATTAACTTATCCAAACCTTGTGCAACATGACGACGGCTATTATATATTTAAAGGCGTACGATAGCCACCAGCTCATTGGGAAGGGAAAAAAATAAATATGTTTTGGCCATGATTAGACAGCTAGGACTACCGACATTTTTAGAACTATATTCGCAGCTGAATCCCAATGGCCAGAATTACATTAAATTGGTAAAAATTTTGGAAGGAAAAGATTTTAATGAAGAAGAAGCAATATCTTACTCAACCCAGAAAAAATATGATCTTATCCGAAGAGATCTAATAACATGCTCTAGGTATTTCTATCAGAGAGTAAGACATTTATTTAAATTTTTCAGGTCCAATGATGGAATATTTAAAGACCATTATGTTATTGAACATTACTTGAGAAAAGAGTTTCAACAGCGAGGATCTCCCCATGGAATATACTGGTTACATAACGCACCTCAATTAAACATTTCTGATGACGGCCCATTCTCGCACTTAGCCTGCCTACTGAAAAACGTACATGTATGCAAAATTTTTCAGACAGGCAGACGGACTGACAGACAGACGGACATCTATAAATCGATAATGAATTTTACGCTGATCCAGAATATATATATATATATATATATATATATATATATATATATATATATATATATATATATATATATATATATATATAGCTCCCATATAACGGTACCTCCCTATATTCGGTATTTTGGTGATTTCAGCGTCTTTATTCACTAAATTTTTTTCAAATTACGCATAATACTCACCGAAATTGTTTGAAATGTCGTATTTGAAGTTCGTAATGGATGCTACAGCCTATGACAAAAAATTGTCTACGCAGGTTCAGGTCTTCGCACAGCTCCGATATAACGGTACCTCCCTATATTCTATACATTATTCACCGTTTATTGCAAGTTCCGAATTTGAATTTGGTAATGACTTATGACAAATAATGCCTGTGTGGGTTCACTTCGTTTAGGCACCAATATAAAGGCAATATTCTGTATATATATATATATATATATATATTCTGGATCAGCGTAAAATTCATTATCGATTTATAGATGTCCGTCTGTCTGTCAGTTCGTCTGCCTGTCTGAAAAATTTTGCATACATGTACGTTTTTCAGTAGGCAGGCTAAGTGCGAGAATGGGCCGTGTCGGTTCACGTTTGCGTATAGCTCTCATAGCGGTACCTCCCATAAGCGGTACCTCCCAGTATTCGGTATTTTGATGATTTTAGCTACATTATTCTCCGGAATTGTTTCAAATTTCGTGTTTGAAGTTCGCAATAGGATCTAACGTGTGATTTGTACGTTCGGCAGCACGGTTTTGGTGGTGGTGTATAAGCAACTGTTAACTGACGCAGAATACCCTGTTCCTGCAAATATGCATCGAAATCTTTATTAAGATACTTGCGTCCATTTTCACTTCACAGAATTCTATAGCCTCCACAATGTCATTCCGTTTGTAACTCCTCGTAATATCAATATATATATATAGCTCCCATAAACGGTACCTCCCAGTATTCGGTATTTTGATGATTTTAGCTACATTATTCTCCGGAATTGTTTCAAATGTCGTGTTTGGAGTTCGCAATACAGCATATGACACTAAATTGCAATTTCAGGTACACGTCTTCGTATAGCACCCATAAAACGGTACCTCCCGATATTCGAAGATCGTAATGGTTATTAAAGCCCTTGACAAAAAAGTTATTTATTCAGGTCCACGTCTCCGTATAGCCTCCATATAACAGTGCCTCCCGATATTGGGTATTTTGATAACTTTAGCCACATTATTCAACGGAATTTCGGATTTGAAGTTCGCAATAGATTCTACAGCTTATGACACAAAATTGCATATTCAGGTCGACGTCTTCGTATATAACCCATATAACGGTACCTCCCGATATTCAGTATTTTTTATAATTTTAGCCATATTATTCACCGGAATTGTTTCAAATTTCGTATTTGTACATCACCGGATTTTTTTCAAATTTCGTATTTGAAGCTCGCTATATATTCTAAGCATATGACACAAAATTCCATATTCATGTCAACGTCATCTTATAGCACCCTTACATCGGTACCTCCTTATATTCGGTATTTTAATACCCCCACTATACCTTGGAGTGTACATTAAAAGTGTCATTCCGTTTGTAATTTCTCGGAATATTTAAGGTGGACCTTACAAAGCATATATTATAGATCAGCGTAAAAGTATAACAAAAACATATATAGATATTGTAATCACGTTATCTTTCGAAAGATGTAATTTTGCACATGAGTGCGTCTGCCCGTCTACAGGTTAAGTTCGGCCATGTTGGTTAAGGTTTTTAGGTATTGCCGCCATATAACGGTACCTCCTAATGCTCCTAAAATGTGGGTCTCATTTTCTAACAGATTTTTTTAAACTTCGGTACTTTGATTTCGCAATGGGTTCTATCTTTTGTGACAGAACATTGTCTATATGGTTCCATGTTGCCCTATATCCCACATATAGCCGTACCTCCATATATTCAGTATTTTGCAAATTTAAGCCACATTTTCTTAGACAATTGTTCTATTCTAACATTTCAAAGGTTCTCCCTTGTGAGACACCACTCTGCTTATAAAGGCCACATTTCCATATAGCCTCACATAATTGTTACCAGCCTAAGACAGAAAATTTTCTGTTCACGTCCACGTCTTCGAATAGCCCCCATATAACGGTACCTCCCGATATTTGGTATTTCGATGATTTTAGCGTCTTTATTCACCAAATTTTTTTCAAATTACGCATTTAGAGTTCGTAATGGAAACTCCAGTCTGTGACAGAAATTTGTTTATGCAGGTCCAGGTCTTCGTATAGCTCCCATATAACGGTACCTCCCTATATTCGGTATTTTGGTGATTTCAGCGTCTTTATTCACTAAATTTTTTTTCAAATTACGCATAATACTCACCGAAATTGTTTGAAATGTCGTATTTGAAGTTCGTAATGGATGCTACAGCCTATGACAAAAAATTGTCTACGCAGGTTCAGGTCTTCGCACAGCTCCGATATAACGGTACCTCCCTATATTCTATACATTATTCACCGTTTATTGCAAGTTCCGAATTTGAATTTGGTAATGACTTATGACAAATAATGCCTGTGTGGGTTCACTTCGTTTAGGCACCAATATAAAGGCAATATTCTGTATTTTTATAAAATTTAACAAAGTTTTTTTTTCAGGATTTTATTTCCAAATTCGTTCCAAATGGTGGAGGGTATTCAAATTTCGGCCCGGCCGAACTTACTGTTTTTAACTTGTTTACTTTAGTGTTTAGTAGTGAACAGTCCGACAGAGAGAACACAGTTATGCAACAGTTAAAATATAACAGTGCCACAAGTGTCACAAATAAAGTTAAAAACAGTTAAAATATATAACAGTGCCATAAATAATGTTAATACAGTTTAAATACGATTTTACTATGTATACAACTATTTATCTATTTAATTATATAAATATGTCTATACTACGCAAGCAATCTTCTTTACAACGCCAAAGACTAGCAACAAATCGAATAAATGAATACCGTGAACGCAATCCATCTGACAGACGTAGAAATGCTATGTCTATAGCAACCAGGCGGCTAAATATAAATTTCCACGAAGAGGAACGGAAAAGAGACCGAGTTTCTCGGCAATTGAGGAGGCATAACTCATTTAACCGAAGAGTTGAACAACTACGTGATGCTGCCCAACATTCTCTTCGCCGACAAGATGTAACAATTGGAGCGTGCACGAGATGCATTAAGCCACCATTTTCGTAAACAGGATGAATCTTAGAGGCAATTAGAGCGGGAAACAGACGCTATGAACAATCAAGCTCATCGTCAGGACGAAACCTACAGATTATCCGAGCAACAAAGGAATGCTTTCCCCAGAATCCCGCAGGGAAATTTTACAAGCAGACTCCATAAGACACAGGTCAAGACAATTGAGCGAGTTCTCCGATATAAGTGGTCCAACAGAAATTTGTATTTGCTGCGGAGGGCTTTGGTTCATTAAAAAAAATTAAAAATATCAGTAAGATCACATTATATGCACATCTAACTGAAGTTTTCTTTCTAGCTTCAACATTTCCATCAGAAAAAATTCATACAAATTTTAAAATACGTATAGCATGTATATTGCTCAAGATGGAAAAATACCTTCAATATGCCTTTCTAAAGGATTACATTTCCCAGACATACCAGCTGACCTTCGTGGTTTAACACAGTTAGAACAGCGATTCGTTTCACCTAGAATACCCTTTATGAAAATCGTTTCCCTAGGATACAATCGCCAATGTGCTGTAAGAGGTGCCGTTTTAACGTACCAATTCAGTTAAATACAACTCTGAATGTGCTTCGGCGAACAGTCAATCACACTGGAGTTGTGCAAGTTCACCTTAAGTGTAGACTACAATACGAATACAGTTTCATGTCTGAAACGATAAGACCAGCGAAGATTTACAAAGCCGGAAGATATCTTGTAATTACGGAACTCTACAAAAAACACAAACTAGTTCTTTTCAGGGAGTGGTTAAATAGAATGGATTGTACATAAGAACAACCCTTTGCTTCTAACGTTGAAGATCTCAAGTAAGTATCGCGGTTAAACAATACCAACTTCATACAAGATGATGTGGGTGAAGTAAATCCACAAGAAACATTATTAGATAATAATCCTGTAAAGACGTTACCATTACAGAGAATTTCCATTGCCCCAGGTGAGGGACAACGACCATTAGATATGCTCTTGGATGAGGATTCTGATAAACTGTCATATCCGTCAATATACTGCGGTGTTAAAAAAATGCACTGCTACTATTGGAAAAATTATTAAGTCTGAAGTTCGGCGTTATGACAGACGGTGTGCACGTGTGGAAAAAGTTTTATATTGCTGCTACATGCTTGAGAAAAAAAAGATGGAAATAGACAATTTACTGCTGCTGAAACTTGAGGTGATCAACTCATCCAAAACCTTGAGCAACATGACGATGGCTATCATATATTGAAAGTCACCAGCATTGGGAAGGGGAAAGGAGAAATGTTTTGGCCATGATTGTTTGGACTCCCTACAATTTTAAACCTTAATCCGCAGCTGAATCCCAATGGCTTGAATTAATCTTTATGTTGGTAAAAGTATTGGAAGGAAAAGATGTTATAGAAAAAGAATCAATATCTTACTCAACCTAGATAAATTATGATTTTATCCGAACAGATCCAATAACATGCTCTAGGTATTCCTATCTGGGAGAAGACTGTTATTTAAATTTGTTGGAATATTTAAAGATCATTATGTTATTAAACTTTATTGGAGAATAGAATTTCAACACGAGGATCTCCCCATCTACATGGAATATACTGGTTAAATAACGCACCTCAATTAAACATTGTTGATGATGCTACATTCCATCCAGTGGTGTATTCAAAATATTATAAACGTTCAACGTCACAACCACACCAGGACTTGTCAGCGTGAGGTAAGAGGTCAACAGTTTTGCCGCTTTCGTATTCCATATCCTCCAATGCCTCAAACACAACTATTGCTTCCACTTCCTGAAGATATTGATTCAGATGTATTAAACCTACATAAGGAAAACTTGGCTAAAATAAGTACATCGCTTATCGCAAATTTATCAAATGATGAAGTAGAAGGACTTCAAAATTTTGACCAGTTTTTATTCCACAGATACCTTAACTTAAACAGAGCGGCATACATAATGGATATAAGGTTATCCATTAAAAAACCACAAATGTTCTTAAAAAGAACATTTAGGGATAGAGCAATCAATACATATAATCTATAATGGATATTCTGTTCATCTTTGATACATATGCTTGTGCATCATACATCATTAATTATATTAAAAAATCGAATAGAAGAGTTTCGAGACTGATGCAAGAAGCTATGGCTGAAATTAGAGATGTCCATTATTTAGTAAAAGAGAGGCTTCAACATAATGGAAATAAGTTCATCATCTGAAGAATCAGCTCAAGATGCATCGGCATGAATTTGTCACAATGTAGCATTGCAGAAGTCTATATCAACACATTTGCTCCTGAGAAACGAGTGCGTATGATAAAATCGAAGCAAGAGCTACAAACTCTCGAAAGAGATTCAACTAATATATTTAAGACAAACATACTCGATCATTACATTCAAAGACCCGATATATTTAAAAACATGCGTTTGGCATGCTTCGGTGCTTACTACAGCTGTTCCCGAAAATTAAAAAAATCATGCTACCAAGAAGAAGAGGAAGGTTTCTTTAAGAACGATGATACCAATTTGGATCAAGTTGGTGCCCCCATCCGACTAAAAAATTACTCGGGATACGTGTACAAAAGGAAAGTTAAAAGATTTCCTTTTTACAAAGTTGAAACAAATAGGGAGGACTAGGATTTGCCTTGGAGAAATGAAGGTGATGACTTATTACAAAATGACAATTAGAATACTTGCTTACCCACAAGAGCACCATTGAAGAAAACCGATCACAATTTGAGTTGTATAAGAAAGGAAAACTTGAAGAAATATAGTTGCAAGTAAAATATGAAGATAACGCCGAAAATAATGAAATTGTTAATAACATCTTAGCTTCTTATATGCTGGGTAAAGAGTTTCATGTCCTGATTGATAATAATATGAATATTTTCGATGTTGATCACAATAATGACCCGGATACTAACGATGATATTAGATTTATAAAGTTACCTCCATTGGTTATTGAAAGAGATGTTCTTGCGGACATAAGATCTCTAAATGTTATACATCGTGCATATTTGCATCATATTTAACATAATGTTGTTGAAAAAGAAAAAACTTTCTATGAATACATAGGTGGTGATACTGGTGTAGGTAAAAGCCGTTTAATTAGAGCAATTTTCCAATCTGAATTTATTCTATTCCTGGAAGTAATCCAGAAATGCCTAATGTTTTACTAACATCGCCAACTAGAAAAACTGCATTTGGTATTGGAGGATCAACGTTACGTGTCCTGCCTGCCGGTTAACTAATATTCGGGAGAACTTCGGCCACTTAGTAGCGACATGGTTAACACAATAATTTAAAAATTAATAAATGTAAATCTAATAATTATTGATGAAATATCAATTGTAGGATCAAGGATGCTAGGTCACTTGGATGCTCGATTAAAACAAGATTTTAAGAGCATTAATCCATTTGGTGGAATTCAAATAACTTCCACCGGTAGGCGATAGATGGCTTTTAGTGATAAAACGTTTAATCCTAACGGACTAATTGTTGGTTCTAGGATCTTTTCGAATTTTATGAGTTGACGGAAATAATGCGTCAACGAGAGATATAAAGATATAATATTAATGATTTTATACAGAAACCCTTCTTTTCCGGAAACGACCTTTCGACAGGTGCTATTCGAGTCTCTGAATGAAATTGATTGGCAACACGACCAAAAACTAATAATTATTGGTGACTTTAATATGTGCAGGCGAAGCACACAGAGCATAACAGATACACTATTTTGTATGAAAGGAATTCTTTCCCTTTTATACAGATATGTGCACACAACAAAGCAAGAAACTCAAATAGATTGGGCTTTCTCTAATATACCACATGGTGATATTATTTGTAAGACTTATCCAACTGGACATATCCATCATGACGGTATAGTAATCGCAATATAGGGAAAGTTCCAAAAATTCTAAATTGAATTGAATCCAAATATAGATTAATATTAAAGAAATACTCAATGTTATTGTTCTAAAATAAATCAAAATTTTCGTATATACTTTTATACATTTTAAAATGTATTTCTTCAAAATAAAAAATACTTATTGAATAACAAACTCATATTACGTTCGTTTTATGTTAGTTTGTACATATTATTTAAAATAAAATGCTATACAACAATTAACATGGCCTACTCCTCCTAGGAATAAGCCTTAGCGTGGCGGTGGAGCTAAGTACTTTCTTAATTGAGAGGTTTAATACTCTTCTTGGTGGAGCTGTTTTTACTTGTTATTATTTCTCCTGTTTGACGTTGAACTGCGTAAATATTTTAAAATTTTCAAATATTACATCTTTTATCTTCATAAAGTAAACGAATATAGTTCTTGTGTTATCGTCGACAAAGGCGACAAAGTATTTCGACCCACCTACTGAAGATATATTCCTCGGGCCACAGACGTCTGAATGAATTAGCTCCAATACATGTTCGGAACGTTTTCAGTAAATTTTGGAAATTGCAAGACCTAAATCTTTTGCTTGTTTAATCTTTATGCAATTAACAAGACCTTTTAACAAGACAACATATCCTTGTTGTTTACTGCATAAATACACACGTCGGATCCATACGTAATAAGAAATACCATACCATATAAAAAATAAATTGTCTCTTTTGTATGTTTTAAAAACAATATAACCATGGCTATCTTTATTTGCACTCCATCAGAATTAAATGTGGCAGTATATCCATTGTCAACTGCTATGCTAATAGAAATCAAGTTGCCTTGTAGTTTCGGAGCATATAATATCTTTTTAGTTGAATTTCACAATTTGCATTTTCCACTAATTGTTCTCTTTTCTTTTGTCTCCTTACTGTTTCAGTAATTTGTTTTTATACCATCCACCATACTATGGAGGGTATATTCATTTTGTCATTCCGTTTGTAACTCATCGAAATAATGATCTTAGACCCAACAAAGTATATATATTCTTGATCAGCGTAAAATTCTAAGACGATTTAGCCATGTCCGTCTGTCTGCCTGTTGTAATCACGCTATCTTTCGAACGAATTGAGATATAAGGCTAAAATTTTACACACATGTTTATTTAAGGTAAAGTTCGTAAATGGGCCTTTGACAGAAAATTGTCTATGCAAGTCACGTCTTCGTATAGCCCCCATATAACGGTACCTCCCAATATTCGGTATTTTGATGATTTTAGCGTCGTTATTCGCCGTAGTAGTATCAAATTATGTATAAAGAGTTCGTAATGGGAACTACAGTCTGTGACAGAAAATTGTCTATGCAGGTCCAGGTCTTCGTATAGGCCCCATATATCAGTACCTTCTTATATTCGGTATTTTGACGATTTTAGGTACAATACTCAACGAAAATGTTTGAGATGTCGTACTTGAAGTTCGTAACGAAAGCTACAGCTTGTGACAGAAAATTGTCTCTGCAGGTCCAGGTCTTCGTAGCTGCTATATAACGGTACCTCCCTATGTACGTTACTTTGATGATTTTGGCTACATTATTCACCGTTTTTTTCAAGTTTTGAATTTGAATATGGTAATGGCAGGCCCAAATATAGCGGCTATAATCGGTGTTTGCGTAGCAATAAAAAATAAAAATAGAAATAGAAAATAAAAAACACAAAATGCTTTAGTTTTGATGTTGTCAATATTGACTTGGGTTTTATTGTTAGTAATTTTGGTAATATTATCGTAAATAATATTGTTACCTTAGATATGCTGGTGCAGTGGACGTAATCCAGAAACGAATTCTATGATATTAATCTAATCGTTACGATGTAACGAGAAAAGCGTAGGTGTTGCAAAGTGGCGCTCAATGCTTAATTCGTTAGTTATAATCTTGACATTAGCAATTTGTACTAAAACCACAAAGTTGTATTTAAACGTAGTACAAGAATTATAAGGTATGTGAATACAATTAAAATTAATTGGAATTAGAAAAATATAAGAACAATAGTGATTCTTAATTAAACATTGCCGCCAGCCTTGCAACATCTTGCTATGTTGCAATAAAGTAATGAAGTTTTAAAATTTCAATATAAAAGTATGCTCGGTGAGCCAAGCCAATTGCATAATTTGGAAAAAATGGTTTGGAGCTCAGTAATCAGCAGGTCAGCAGGGACACCGTATGGCTGCACTCAGAAAGAGGCCAAACAGGTCACCTTTCGAAAGCACCACCAACCAAACATGGTTAGTTGTACCGAATACGGGAAGCCTGTTTCACTCCTTTATGTGCTTTCATAGGTATTACACTGGGACCTGATTCTTTGATTTCCTCTAAAAGAGGGGCAGGTCCAGTGCTCCCGGCCTGGTTTGGCTCCTTTGTATGTTAGGAAGATAGCACTGATAGAATGTGGTACATGGGAGTGTCAGCTGCCGATTTG